ATCAGAAATGAAAGAGTTAACAGTGTCTTTAACTAATTTTTGATTGTCAGGGGTAAGATCCTTATCCACTTCACAATAAAAATTAGTATTAGAGAGTTGACGTAAAGCCTCCTGTTTATACAGGTCAGAACGCCAGACAACTACTGCACTGCCTTTGTCAGCGGGCTTAATAACAATGTCAGAACGATTGCGTAATTGACGTAAAGCCAACCACTCGTCCTTAGAAAGATTAGAATAACTGAGTTTACGGTTAAGATTGACATTAGAAATATCACGGCGACACTTATTGACAAAAAGATCAAGAGAAGAAAATTGTTCCTCGGGAGGGACCCAGTTAGACTTACGAGGACAAAGGCGCTCAAAGACATCACGTTCACAGTTAGAGTTAGAAGAGCTTAGCTTTAAATATATTTAGATAGTCTCCCCTAGTAATTTTCCCCTGGGTCCGTTTGTACGAAGGGTGGATAGCACTATCCAATGGATAAATCCTTATCCAGGATAATACAATACAAAAAACTTTATTTGAATTTGAAAGAATATATGGATAAAGTGAGGCTGTTGTTCAATAATTTCATGCAGTGGATAAGATTTATCTGTCAGATAGCACTATCCACCCTTTGTACAACCAGAGGTCCCTGTACATGTAGTTTACTATTCATACTTGATACAGCTTAGATACATCCTTACCTTTAGAATTAAATATAATGATGTAGCAATTACTGCAAAGTACTCGCCACCATAATTATAGTCTGTAAAGTAGGCAAACCATAATGGAATAGGGACGAGCATCCTGTAGCACTGAGATAGATGTTCTAGAAGCATGTAATACTTGCCCTAGTAAAGAAAAACAACCTTCGTGTAAGTTTAGTAGAGATGGTGTATGAAAAGATTAAGAATATTTCTATAATACGATAATAGCAAAAAAAAAAAAAAAAAAAAAAAAAAAAAAAAAAAAAAAAAAAAGAATGAATGAATGAATGAAAAGATGAGAAAGGAAGAAAGAAAAATAGAAAAGACCAAACAAAGTTCATGTCTTACTGCTATTTTCCATAAACATGTGAGCTTGCTAGCAGCAAAGCTACATGCTGAAATTTGGTTTTTCACTGCCGTCAATCAAAACTAATTAGTTGGTACCTTTCATATTTTTGACTGGCGGCGTTGAAAAACCAAATTTCAGTGTGCAGCTTGCAGAATTAACAGAATTAATAGAATTAACAGGTACAATAATAACTTACTCTCTTTCTGAAAGGGATTACTCTATTATGGTTGATGATTACAACTGATTTGAGAGCCATTGTAATAAGACGGATAACAAAATCTGAAACCAAAAGAAAAAAAAGAAAAAAAAGAAAAAATAAAATACCACCTTAAAACCTCAGATACCTTTATTTTCAAGATGAATCAGAAAATGAAAAACAAATAACAATAAAGCATATTTTTGGAAAAATAACTAAAATATTTTAATTATAAAGTTGTAAAATTTATTTTCATTTTACATCAATAGACCATTTCACAGATCCCACGGCTCAACCTCAACCTCGTCAGCATGTAATATATTCTTTAGAAATTGCCTACAACCTGTGAAATTCTTTCAATTGTTCGTTGATGTGTAATTTCCTTTCATTACTGCGGACTGTAGTCAAATTCTAAATATTACACACTGACGAGGCTGAGGTTAAGTAACAGGATCCGTGAAATGGCCTATTATGTGGGAGTGATTACACAATCTCTTGGGCCAGAGGCTCATGGCTAAAGCACTGGATGCCAGATCGAACAGGAATTTAGAATTTAGAAGTTAAAATTGATCTTAGTAGGTGAAATTGAAATTAGTAGGTGACAGTCTGGATTAATTTCTTGGAAACAGGCTGTGATAGACAATTAATGGCCCAACAAACTCAAAACTTTCTATAAATTTCTTTGAACATTATTTATGCATATAGATAAGCAATAGGAGAATGATCATACCTGTTATACCAGTACACCAAAATACAGTCCACACATCCATTTTATGGAAACTTGGTCTGCTGAACACAAGGCTAGAATAGGAAACAAAATTACTAAGTTTACAATAAAGGCTTTGCACCATCACTTGATGGGAACCAAGACAGAAGGCATAAAATAAGGCTTTCCCCTGGGAAACTGAATTCTTTCTCACAGTGCAAAGCCACCATCAAAACCAGAAAATGTCACAGAATACATTCATTGAACCAGTCACATTGCAGTATGCAAGATCCAATCAGAATGCTAGGACATGGTACAATGTACCTTCTTCACATTCAGGATATGACAAAAAGTGACACATAATATACATATTTCCCATTTGTATGAAAACTGAAACAAAATGTATGAATGAAGAAATAGAAAATGCACACATTTGTTGAGTTCAGTGATAAAGTATGCAGGGATTGGCATAACATGAGAAAAATGTTAGGATAACCACAGTACATAGTGGCATTGTGCTGCAGCACAGCAAGCAATTTTGTTACTTTATCTCTTTTATAAAATACAAATTAGAGTATATATGTTATTTTGGACACAAATGATGAAATAGGAAGAGCATGCATGCAAATAATGTGTGCTCTAACAATGTGAGCATGTCATGCTCCCAATCACAATGCATGATTTATAATAGATATTTAAAGAAATTACAATTAATGGCAGTATTGCTACAATATGTACTTAAGTAAAAAAGAACATACCAGTTTTCCAGGTGCTGATTGTAGAAGACATAGTAAATAAAGAACACATTGCCAGAAAGAAACAAAAATGTCCAGAGAGACACTCTTATCAGCCTTCTATCCTGGAATATCAATATCAGTAGTACAATTAATTATCAGATTCTCTGACAACAGGCAACCAATAACACACTGCTCTAATGAATTACCAACAACAAGGCAATGTTAGGAGTAACAGCAACACAAGAACTTCACATTCTGAAATTGTTACATAAGCATGCAGTCGTGAAATTCAGATGGAAAACACAGGTACCCCCTAATAAGGCCTCCGTAGTTGATGCTCACCTTCAAGGCAACCTGTCTTTTAACAGTATTATTGGCATGAAGATATGTTCCACACAGACCAATGAACACAAGGATACCTGGAAGTATACACACAATACAACTGATCAATTCCAATGTCCATACCCAAGTTAATTATATATATTTTCAGATTGAAGGGAAAAAATTCACAAAAATAGTTAAAATATACACCAAATTGAAATATGGTGACCAATTTGAATAACTTTTGTTCTGGACTGACTGGCGACTGATTAGCCTTGTGTTCACATGGAAACGCAAAAGCATTTTCACAAGCAAGATAGGCTAGTCAGTCTAGAAAAGTAATTATTTAAACTAATTGCCATATTTATATTCAGTGTATGTTGTTCTTTCCAGGAATTCGAATTGTATCATAACCAATAAAGAGATTTAATGGTGCACAGCCACCTTAACTGACGATAAAAATAAGCTTATTACGTCATGTGAAACACAGCATAATTAGCATACAATTTGCCACCATGTTTACTAACGACTTACCAAGCCTATGATCCCACATAATTCTGCTCAACAACAACAGCACAAATGGCAAACTCTTCTCAAGCCACGAAATCGTGCCTTGAAACTCCATCCTATCCCCATTCGACCGAGTATTTCCATTTCCACCTCCCTGATTAGAATTCGTGTTACGATTTCCGTTTCCATGTTCAACATTCTCCTCCGTGTCGGAGGAATTTCCAGAGTTCATATTCACGTTTGGGGAATACCTCCCCGGGTCGTTTCGCATTCTAGATCCATAACGATTAAGTCCTGGCTCCGTCTCGAAGCCTAGAGCGTGAGATAAGTCCACGTATGTCGAAGGAGACATAGGAGACAAGGGAGACGTTGATGTCGATCTCGAGTTTACTGTCCTTCCAGACGACCCAAAGCTAGGCACAAACTCGCGAATCACAGATGTTAAAGGATTAAGGTTCGATAAAGTTATCTGTCCATTGCCTGGTGTGTATGTCCATGATGCTGATCGTACGTGAGACGATCTCTGTCGGTAAGCAGATAAATTCCTGTTGCTCTCCGCCATTTTGTTTTTCTAATATCTGACGCAGAAGGTTGTGGGTTGAGGGAGAATGGGGGAAAGTAATCCAATCTCTTTTTGGTCATCGGGCTGCAACACACTCTGGGTACGATATTTGGAAATAATCTTGAGGTGCTTTAGAAGACTGGTAATTATTTCATTTCATTCAAAGTATCTAAGCAGGAATATGCATTTTGCGTGAGGGATATACACAAAGACGCGCATAGTGAATGGAAAAACCAGGGCGCGGTTGTGCGAAGGGTGGATAGTGCTATCCGACAGATAAATCTTATTTTATTGAACAGAACAGAACAGAACAGAACAGAGGTTTATTGCTCTTAAATATTAATTACATTTGGTAACAATATAGAGAAACTTAAATGCAATATAAATGTATAATAAATATCTATAACGGCATCGACTTATCCGCCGCTTTAATATCCACTGGATAAGATTTATCCGTCCGATAGAGCACTCGAAAGGCAAGAGAAACATACGGCTACGCTTCGTATTCAAAAGGTCAGAAGTCCATAACTAGTTATGAACTTCAAAGGTCTAAATGTTATCTAAGCTAGGCTTACTTCTCTAGTGGTCCAGTATTTACAGCTTACAGCGTGTTTACAGTACAGCGCACGGTTGTACGAAGGGTGGATAGTGCTATTCAACGGATAAAACCTTACCCAATGGATAAGTCGATGCTGTTATCCTATACTGAAATTTATCCACTGGATAAGATTTATCTAACCGGGCCTTCAACGAGACATAAGGTTACTATATCAACAGACGTCACTTCCGGTAATATTTGTGTTTTGACTAGGGGCCAATTGCCCTATTTCACTATGACGTCAGTGCTTGTTAATAGAAAATTCGACAAAATTTGCTCCTAGCGAAAGAGTTTTATCTAAAATGGCCTGGTTTTCAGATATAATATGTGTTAATATGTACTAAAAATATTCTGAGCGTTTGCTGGCTATTTTACTAAATTTGCGTTGATTTGACCCCCTTCGACGACCATGATCCTTTGCGTTTAAACAATAGATTGTTTCGATGTGACGTCATAGTGAAATAGGGCAATTAGCATTCAAAAGCTTGGAGGTTGTATGTGTTTCTTGATTTCTGGTGTCAGGTAGTACAAATAGCCAGATACGATACTTTGAGAACTATTTTGACATGTTTTAGCTTCAAATTTGCTAATTTTATATTAATTGACCCACAGTCAACTCCAAAAAGTCACGTGATTGATAGTATGCAATTCCTTAATTATAATGATTCCTCTGTTTGTGTTAATATGTTTTCGTAGTTTGAAGTGTGAAGGAAGAAGGAGAAGAAGGATGAAGCAAAAAGCCTAGCACATGTTTTACTCGGTAGAATAAAAAGACCATGTCTTCATGTATTATCTTATTCGTTTACACCTAGAGATGCTGAAGAACTGAAGAGGCTCGCAACAGTAGGTTTCCGAGCTGGGCCTGGTCACGAAAGCCGTGTAGGCAGGACAAAGACGCCACAGGGGTCGAACATATCGTAAAATTCGTTTGTCTTGGACAGTATAACCTCCATTAATTTGTTTGTAGCAGTTAGTAGTACGTAGATCTCTTCTAACTAGTTCTTAACCGTTTTAAGTTTGTTTTTTTTAGTTCTCCACCAGTAATTAAGAACATAATGCAAGACAAATGTTTGAGCTGCCTGAGCCGTAAGACGCGAGACCCAGGATTTAATCATCCAATAAATTGTGCAGTTTTCCACTACGGCCCTCGAAAGTGCCAAGATATCCACTGAGAATCATGTGTTTGCTCAGGCATGGGTGTGTTCCGGCGACATATAGTGATTAACAGGCAATGACGTCATCATGACATGATGACAAGTCTCTAGATTTGCAATGACAATTTCTTTTTTTATTTGCATTGATTCCTTGGAATTTTCACCAATTTTGATTAAATTTTAATGGATTCGAGCCATAAAGTCTCGTAGCTGTTAGGACGTGATCAGTAACTTCCAAAGAGCATCATTTTTCAGTTGTTTTTTTCTTTTTACGTTGTTGTTTTCGTGATGCTGAAAGACAAAATGTCCGTCAAACCTGCGACTTTGGTGTTTTTTTACTGATTGCATTCCTAAAATATCAAGAAAGAAAAAAACCCGAAGTCGGCTTTAAGTCTTTTGGCTGACACTTTCAATGATAGTTCATTTGCCCTTCGGCTGAAAATTATCACCGAGTTTGCTTTTAAAAGTCTCTCAGTCTGGCATGTACAAATCAGAATGTCGTATCTCAAATCCACGTCGTGTCTAGCTGCTCAAACTCAGTTGAAACTACCGAAGAAAGACCTTTATTGAATCGCACATTAAATACTTATCCAAGTAATGCATACTAAGACTCGAAGAGACAAAAACCTGTCTAAAAATCAATAGCTTTTGGTTAAAATAGGTCGTTAATAAAACTTTCCCACAAGCTGTTGATAAGATTGAACCGTTGAAAAAGCATGGCGGTTCTTCTAAGTATATTTTTAATTCCGATAGCTCAAAGTCGAAGGCGAACGGATATTTCAGTAGATCAAAAACAAAAGGCGGACAAATCCAAAGCATGTATTCGGGTCCGGTTGAAACGCCTCAAAGTCAATCATAGAAGACCATTTCATTCGAGAGATTGCTTGAACGCGGCCTTCGTAGGCAAAGAAAATCATTAACACTGGAATAAGACAAGTTGAGGCACCTGAGGCCACGAGAAAGGAAGCTTATAGTAGAGTATTAGCACAAAATCACATCCAAAACCGCTAATACAATGAAAAGACTGTAAGTAATGATTGGGAAACCAAAGCCTTTAGTTTTGATCAAAAACAAGACGCGACAAGAAATGAAATAAATCCAGATTAAAACAAATGTAACAAAACCAGAACATACTTTACGAGAAAACCACAGTAAAAGAATTTCAAAAAATCCTTATCTTGTGGCAAGAAATTTCTAGATTTTAATGAAAGTGCATGTCAAAAACCGAAGAGGATTCCGAAATAATCGATTATAAAACCAATCTGGCGGAATTGCATATTTTTGTTTAAAAAAAAAGAAACTATTAAATCCCAATACTGGCAATATGCTTTACCGAAACCACAAAGTGCTTGTCAATATAGTTACTACTTCATATTATTTGAATATTATAAAATTTATTTCTCTAAATCTACTTAAATTTGACTCACTCAAAATGATATCTTAATAATTATCTAGAGGATAAATAAGCTACATACGAATGGCTTCCGCTTTTGCTCCAGGTTACATTTTTTCCCTGCTTGATCAATACTACACAATTGTTAGTTCTTTTGAAAATTAATTTGTTTACTTAGGAAGTCAACCTGGATTAAACTAACTAACATCGTTCAACTCAATATTTTATTGATTAGGACATATAACATCTGCTTGATTGAATTATGACACAGAAAAAATAGACTGCATGAAATATCTAGTATTAAGACTTCGTTAGGTCACGCCCTGTCAGATTGATCGAGCTGGCTAGTCAGACTAGGAGTGAGAGAAGCGAACGCAAGACCAACCGATTAATTCCTGCAAAACAATTTTAACCAAAATCTACTTTGAGTAACTTGAGGTATGTATTATATTGATTTCATGGAATATTATTCAAAATATCAAAGAAAACAAGGATATATACTGATGAAAATGAAAGTAAGATTAACTTGCAAAAACTGGAATATTGGAATATTAATCAAGCAAGGTTCAGGCAAACTTTTAAAGCAACTAGATTTAAATTCAGTAATGGTTCAGTATATAAAGGTACTATTTAAAAAATGCAAAGGAAAAATATACCAATATGCTATTTCATCGGCTTCACTATTCAGCGCCTCATTACTGAAAAATTGGAATTTCGCTTGAAATTCCGGCGATAGGCATTCTTAGAAGTGAATTCTGAAAAAAAAAAATCTAACTTCTTTAGTTAGAGTCTTCCACTTTCCACAGTCTTGCTGTATACTCATGGAATAATGAAATTAGTCAAAGGAAAAACACTTGTTTTCGGTACATAGTGGTCATCGATCTACTCAAACACAAACCGCAAATTTTCCACAGAATGCCTATTGAACAAGACAAAAAAAAATTTCGTTAGCTCAAAATAATATTTCGAATTGCTTAAAATAACTGACATTTGTTTATGAATAGTGTATATCTGACCTTGTTCACGAGGTTAATAGTATTGGCCTTCCTTCTCTGAGTCTCTCTTTGCTCCTCGCCTTTTAGCTTTCCTTCTAGTTTATCGTAGAAAAAGCTCTGTTGAAACGTATTTAAAAGAAAGAAAGATGCAAAAATGACGCGCGTTTGCCAAAATATTTCATATCCCGAGAGTCTCATAAACCTGACTCGTCAGCAAATGAATATGCAACAGATTTCCACCTTTTCCCGCGATGTGAATATAGATTCCAGATCTCAAACTTAAAATCATGGTGTAAATTCGGTTGATGGACTTACTCAAAATATTTTTTGTAATAACTGTTTTAATAAATCCTCATGATGCAGTAACACCAGTGCGAATGAAATAGTATTGGAAAAATGACGTACTAATCGAGGGGGCACTATACTTGCCTCACCACATTTACAGCATGATTTTGATAATTTCTTTTTTCCCTGTTGTTTTTTGTTTTGAAAAGAGGAGCCGGACACAGCGATAAATTATTTCCGAAAGCTTGGGCAAATTTATAGGTTTTAGTTGATATTAGAATCTTTTTTCCATCAGTAAACATCACGCTATGATCACACGTCCACCAACCCTCTCTCCTCCCTTCTCCTCAGCCATCTCTCTTTCATTATTTAGCATTAAAGCGCAGTAAGGCTGCATTCACTATGCAAGCCAGGGTGAAGAGGGGGGCAGGTGAAATTTAGGGACATCTGAAAACTATTTGTGAGATTTCAATGAGTGCATCTCAAATATATATCAAAAAGACCAAAATATGACATCGGATCAAATGCCTGGTGCGATACTACATGAATAATAAATGCAGCCCAACAGGCATGGCAAGAAAGAAAATGTCTTTGAGTCAGAGATCGACTACCAGCACTGCCTGTCATCAGACCTGAGGACCGACACTTTTGACTACTCGTACTCAAATATTCATTTTTCCCAATTTTCTAAGAAGTTAATTAGTTTTTACCAGAATTTATCCACTTTAATTGCAATGATGACTAATAAAAAGCTCGAACATGAAATCTATAAATTAATGTTTTCCAATTATTACTAACAGTGTCTTGTTTTAGTTATGCACACGAAAATATGATGGGAGTTGATTGCGCTGTGTGTCTAACAAGCGCCTGTGTGTTAGTAAGATTTAAATTTGCAATCATTTCTTGTGAGGGCAAAAGCCAAATGAGTGGATAGATGAAACTAGTGTGAGAGGGTGGAACTGCATGATGGGATCGGATGTAGCCTGCGTAGCGGCTCTCTGGGTGAAGGGGACCTGGCAAGTAGAAAGGGGGGGGGGGGGGGGGGGGTGGAAAGAGCCGCTTCGCAGGCTAGATGAAACGGAAAGGTGTAATGAAATGGACAGCAGTGGGTGGAAAAGATAGAAAGAACAGGATTAATCGGTTGGATGTAAGTTTTTTTTTACACGAATGCAATCAGGAAAGCTCTAACTCCGATGAACAATATATTGGTATAAGTATTAGTATTGGAACATCAAACTGAAACGTTTAAGTGTTTACATCATACAAGATATGTACAAATTGCATTACATACATTTCTATCAAGAATCACTTCAAACATTTACAGCCTCTTTGAGGTCTATGGTAGAGTGCTCGCACTAAACCCGTGAAACAAATACTAATTTTTAGTTAGTACAAAATAGTGATAATCAAACAATAGGAAACAAAGGATTCTGTATGAATTACTACTAATTAGTACTAAAAAATTATTCACGGGTTTAGTGCGTGCACTCTATTTCCTGCGGGCAAAAGAATAGCCCAAAAACATGACCAAAAAATTAATCAGTGCTACACTTAAAAAATTTATATCCAAAATGCAAGTCCTTAAACTTTCACTTTACCTCACCAGAACTCTCTGGAACGTTCTTCCGTTATCACGAGATGGAAAGATACAATCCGTACACTTGCTTTGATCAAAGCTTTCATGTTTCTTAGTAGGGAGGGTTTAATTTAGCAGGAAAAGGCAATGCAACTCACCAAGCTACAAAAGCAAAGTATCTTAGAATATTAACCGTTAAGAGTAGAATCAATTCAATTCAATTCTAAAATTATCAAACAATATTAAGCCTGAATTTAAAAAATTAATAAAAAAAACTTACATTTGGCAAGACCGCTGCAAGCTTTTTCCCCATTCATAATTTTTCGTTAAAAAACAATTAGCAAACTCCCAACAAAGTCGTCCTTTGACTATCACTTAAATTTTGTCGGGTGAATCTCCGGTGATTATGACACAATGTCGTTCACCATATAATTCAATAGTTTAAATTAAGTGTCAAACACTTCAATACATGCATAAGATTAGACAAAACAGGTGGATAATACTGGGTCTGTCTTGTCAAAGAAAAATAACAATAGGATCTCTTTCCTTTGGAAAATAAAATTTCTTGTCATGAAAACGACATTGCGACATGTTCCTGTCTCACAACATGGCTGATAATATGAAAGAATTTGGCGATGATTTTGACTTTTCATGTTTTTTACTCGATGTCCTCGCGATCAGCGGTGATTATGCTGGCTCGGTCAAACCCGCGTTTTACAAAGCATTCACATACAAATCTGCTTTAAAATGCAAACCATGGCTTTATATTCATTGCATTGGCCCATTAACGCAAGTTCAATTGAACAACCGGCACATCGGAACATTTTTATTGTGTGTCCGTTTGATACGCCCCAACTACATACGTGTTCAGCAGGGTTTTTCCGGCGGAATTCTCGAACATGCGCAGTACGGTTTTTACCAGTCCAGGATCATTCTCGCACCCAGAGCTAGCTCCTCGGTAGTCGTTCTTTCCCGCGGTCGGAGGAGATATGCATGGGTAAGATGAGAATGGTCCTGACTTTGCTAAGTCACACCCGATACATAATTGCAGAATGTTGGCGGATGTTTTTTTTTAAATTTTCAAAAAACAGCACTTGCTGCTCATTGCTTTTGCCGAAGAGTTACACACCATTGATCTACGAATCATAATCAAACTTAATAAATTAGCCACTTTATCATACACTATCTAATAATTTTCTCATATCTATAGTATCACACAAAAATATTTTCTCACGCTATACTATGACAATTATCTATATCTGCGCTAATTCTAATAAAGTATTTTTGGGCATGCTAGCTGATTATTTATAACAATGTTACTTAGAACCATCTTGCTTCTTCTGATTGAACAAATACGTCCTGACCGGCTAGTCAAAAGAGAATATCACGAAGCACGACTTGATATTGTAACTTTTCACAAATCAAAGTCTATTTATCCGTTATTATTTTCTTTTTGCTTTTGGTTCTTTTAGTTCATGATAAACTCCGTGCAATTTTCTCTGTGAGCTCAGAGTTAACCTTGCCCTGACTTATGATCAGTCCAAACTTTATTCCTACAAAATTTAAAAGAAGGTTTTTATTCATTTCTTGCTTTGTCATAGAATCATAGATACAAACGAGAGAATATGAATTTTTAAAAAAGTCCGTTGTGTGAAATGACTGATGGTTGAACTACGAACAGGCTCAGTTTCTAGTAGCAGATCATAAGACATGAGAACTATCCCTGCCCACATGTTATTTACCACTTAAGCCTCTCGATTTGATTAAATAATGTTTAATTTCCTCTATTTGTTGGTTGTCATTATTTCTGAGTTATAATAATAACTGCTAATCAGATAGCTGCCGTTTGGCTGGCACCAACTTTATGATCAAGCACGTACATGGCACCTGAACACCTTAAATTCTTTCTTAGCTCGTATACCGGTGTAAATAGGATACTAGCTGGACTGTGCATAACAGATTTTTACACTGACTAAGTTTGAACACCAAGTGCATCTGAGGCTGAACTGATTTTAGCAAAGAAGACATCCATTGAATTGTAAATAATAACCCTTGATTTTAATATATATTTTAAAATTTTACATTGTTTTTTATTTTATTTTATTTCATGTGTTTAGTTTATTTGTTTGCTGACAGCTAATTATGTTAATTTTGCAGGCATAATTGGGGGGAGGGGGGGGCGAAGAAAAGAAGAAATTAAACAGCAACAACAACATTAACAACAAAAAAGAGAGTGGAAAATAATGCAAAAGTACATGACCATCTTCTTGTGGCAGCAATTCTGCATCGAATATAATATACTGTTTACTCAGTATAGTCTCAAATAGCGGAATAAACGAAAACAATCCGGTAGGAGGGAGTGGAGAACGCCCATTTCATAGGCAACCATATTACTGTTACCATGACATTCTATCAATAAAGAATTACTGCGCATGCTCGAAAATTAGGCGGGAAAACACAGAGCAGACGCGTCTTTGAGATATATTAAAGACAATACTGTTTCATATGTTTATCATCCTTAAAAGAATGAAGACGGGAAAATGTATGGTAGCAACATGATGTTCACCAACAAAAGAAACTTGCTAAACGAATCCGAAGTCGCTTAATTCGATCAACCACAAAAAGGCGGCCATAAAAACCAGAAAACCAGCGATAAGTGCACACGTTAATTTATTTCAACTGGCCCTTCATCATGTTTGATATCTAAATCCACCTAAAACCTATTCTGATTAGATCTGATATTCAATCAATTCTACTAACCAAAGCTGTATAGGATTAGAAGTGATTTGAAGTGCTTCGGGTTACCAGCAATCAAGCGGCTCTTCAAGAATGTGATATTAAAGGGATCGCCAACTTAGCCGGCTCTCCTTCGTGATCTTACATAAAAAAGAATATTCTTAAATTGTAGAAGGTAAACAAAAATTTGCTTTGAATAACAACTAAGCTTCAAGGTGTAAAATTTAAATCTGTTGCTTCGTTTAAAGTATGGTATATCGCGTGATGCGGACTGACTTAATTCTTAAAAACATTCGGTGATATCAGCCGGTCATTTCTTTTCTTAACCGCAAAGCACTTGACCAAGTATAATTCGATAATGTTAAGACGAAGTTAATGCTCTTAGCTCACGTAAGTTGTAATCTTAACGAAGCGTTATGATCTGAGACCATACGGCTGCGGCTAGTTAGATGAAAATACCGCGTTTTTGTAGAATTCAAAGACAAACGATTTTAAGAGTGGTTTTCATTACATGTAATATCATGGATTTTTTTTTACATATTCGTATGTTATTTTTTCTCTATGTCGTGTCAATCAATAGGTAGTGGACATTGAGTGAACGGTTTATAGGACCTTTACGACAAGGTGAAGAAACTTCCAGCTGAATGAATAAATAAAGAAATGAAATAAGATGTCAAAAGATGCAAGAATAGGCTTGATTGTCCAATTAGATCGATCTAAACAATGATTTGATTACGCCAATATTATAGTTCGGGTCTATAACCTTTTTACTTAGTTGTGATTGAGGTTTTTCGTAATTTTATTCAAATTCAATCTGCCTTATTCACATCAAAATCAGACTGAATCTTTTCTTTCACTTGTAGTTGCAATTCCCTAGAAATGTTGGTCAAGATAGCCGTTCTTATCGTAATCCAGCTGGCGTCCGCACATGGAGGGTCAATCAAGAAGCGTTCCTTGCCTCCAGGACTTCCCCAGCCACCAAACGATTTAGAAGCTGTTGCAAAACGTGCACGTAAGTCATTACTCGAAAACAACTAAGGCTGCGTTCATAGTGTTTGGCAGAGGGGGGCAGGTGAAATTGAGGGGGGATCGGGAATTTTGTTAGGAAAAAGGGGGGATGGGCAAATTTTTATCAGAAAAATGGGGGGGGGGGGGGKGCACAATTTTTGGAAGAAGCTACAAGCCTTACTTAGGGGGGATCGTATTTTTTGCATGACTTTGGCCAAAAATTAGTTTTAGTTCAGCATTAATGAATGAATGACGAATTGAGATGAGCTACACTGACTAAAATGTAGTGCCCGCATTAGTTAACTAACATGGGTCTGACCACGTGTTAGTAAGTTTTTGCGCGCCAAAAAACAACTAAAGACAAGATGAGTCTTGACAGATAAAAGCAACCCACTGGAAAATCTGTTTGTAACTTTTTCACATGCCATAACAGATCTTTGTTCTAGATAACCTAATGCATTCAAACCAAATACACATACATGGCATATGTCAGTCATATTTTGAAAGTATATTTTAACATTTCAAAACTGGTTTTTTTTTTWAAATTCAATTAATGATTGCATCTTTTAAGTTTTGTAGGCTAGCACCATAGTTAATAACTATTATAATTATTATATATTATAACTGTTTTACCAGTGTGTCCCGAGGGGGGTGGAGACAAGGATGCTGGTTGTCCTTACTGGAAGACATTAGGCTTCTGTAATCCTGGTAAAGGATACCTGGACTTCATGGAAGAGACCTGCCAAGTGACATGTGGATTCTGTGAAGGTAAGTTATCTAATGTGGCTCAGTCCAGAACCCTTTACTTGATACTATCTTAGCTGACAGAGCATTGATGCAAAGGGAACTAAAGGCACGGCCGCTATGTTACCAATCAACAACAACCAACATGGCGGTCATGACGTCACATACACCCCAAGATGCATGAGGCGTAATGTTTTCCCATTTCAGACCAAGTGTCGATCCCATGATAATCCAATTCTTTGTCAGTTGAGTTGTATTCGAGTCGTTTCCATATTCTTGTGTCTTCTCGTGCACAACCGTTACAAGTAAACGAAGAAATAACATACTCTTGACAATGACAAGCCACGTGGTTTGTATTGGGAAACATTGCTCCCAAGCTAAAAAGAAAGCTGATGTCTGCGTATAGAGCGTTTTCACTCAGTCCCTAGAAAGTTAACTGACAATAGAGATAGCAGCCATATTAGAGTACCTAACAAAAGAAACTAGTGAAAAAGGCGGTAGTCAAAGGTACACCAATATGGCGGCTGTGACGTCATGTGAAAATGGATAAATGTTTCGTGAGTGAACATACCATGTCTTATCTTTGCTTGACATGATTTTACTAATGAATATCTCGTTATTTTTGTAAACAGCGAGACCAACTCCACCTCCACGTGCAGCTCTTGCCAGAGGTAAACATCTTGTCAGTTATAGATCTATTCCTCATTGAATGATGACCTGACTACACACATGCTACTGATTTTGAATTTATCGTTCTTCCATGTTCTTATATGTTTATCCAACATATGATTGACCATGTTACTCATTTAATAACCTCTATACTAAGGAAGCACTTCACAACGGTTGCATGCTAGAGACAGAGTTTGTTAAGAAACGTTTTCTTGCTGGAAGACTTTGAATTAAGAAAAGCTACACTTTTGGCTAGCGGTGCATTTAATTAAGTGAGAATGCATGCCTTTACCACAARCGTTGAATGTCGTACTTACACTTAGACATGCGTCGCAATTTCGTAGTTGTGCGCGACATTTCGCACCGTGTGTTCCTCAGAAATATGGGTTCAGAAGCATTAATACTTTATAACGATTTTCTTTTCTATTTTACAGTGAATGAGTATGAGTGTCTGAGAGCACATAACACGAAGCGTGCCATCCATGGAGCAAGACCGCTGACATGGGATAGATCTTTGGTTCGTGATGCGGAGAAATGGGCACTAGAGCTTGCTAACAATGACGAGTTTAAGCATTCCCCATGGAGCGGACAAGGGGAAAACCTCTATTACGTATCACGTGTTAGTTCGACGCCAATCACGTGCGAGGATGCCGTTGAAGCCTGGTGAGTATGAGAGTGTGTGCCGTGAAACATGTACAATCAAATGAGGAATTCGAAAATGCAGCCCTCGTAGCTGTGGAAGGGATGTGATTGGTTCTCACTAGGTTGATACTAGATGTACATGTCAATTGCGTACCGTAACCGTGCCTTGATTCAAGATTTTTGAGTGTGCCAAAGGGGCTAGTAGTTAACTGACAATTGGCCAAAAAATATTAGTTTACTGACAAATAACTTAAATTAGTATTCCACAATTAACTGATATTTCATGATTTTAGTTAATATCATGGCCAGCGCTCGTAAAATTATTACAGTTACAGCCATTCTCAATCCCACGCGCCCTCTATCGCGAGTGTTTTTGTCGCGACGAAGTAGCTTTTGGTGGACGTCAATCAAAGCGTTTCCATGACATTCTATAGGCGCGTGTCCTTATAGCTTTCAGTTTTCGGACAATGTTATGGAAACGCCTTATGATTGACGTCCACCAAAACCTCCTTCGTCGCGGCAGAAAAAATCACGAGAGGGCGCGTGTGAATGAGGATGGCTGTAACTGACATTCGGCCGAAAAAATAGTCGTTAACTGTTAATTTTGTACTCATATTGGCACCAGCTTTTTTCACTTTCATTTGATCTTAGTAACCCTGATCTGCCTCTCCAACATTCTTGCAGCGCAATTTTGCGGCGCTGCAATATGCAGTGCCTCGTTCAACATGCCCTTACATAGCAATAATGGCTGACTTTTTATGAAGTTCATGGTATTATTAATTTGTCATTTAAGGTATGACGAAGTTAAAGACTATCCCTTCAATCATCCACCGCGCACAGTCTTTGATGTTAAGGGGAAACAAATTGGTCACTTTACTCAGGTAATCGGCAGATCTATAGATTTCTTTCATCATCACACCATACTCAACCCTGGTTTACATAAATGCTTATTCTAGGGGATGTGGTGGGACGATTAGTATTAACATGTGGGACTCCGTGGTAGCAAAAATGTCTGGACAGCTAAATATACGATTTAAAATCACCTCATAGAAGAAAAATTGTTAACTAAATCGGCTACTCTTCGAAACCCAGTCCCTTTCAGTCTCAGATCTTTCCTCAGTCCATTCCACAGCAGCTACATAACCTTTAGTGATTTATATCATACGTCACAACTTTAAAGCTCTATTGCATTTAATATTACGATTTSATTGACAGCTGGTGTGGAAAAACACTGAAGAAGTGGGCGTGGCTATCTCGGTCATCAAGCGAGGCCTGTGGTACAGCACGTATGTCGTAGCTCGTTATACCCCTCCTGGGAATTATAACGGCAAGTTTGCGCAGATGGTTGGAAATATTAGAAGTGGAAGATCCAGCGTGAGCGCTTATTAGCTGACTGAGGAGCTGCTTCTATGTTTTGTTTCAGTAAGTAATGTTTCGTAATGTAATGTAATGTTTCGCTGCAACAAAAATGTGAAATTACGTTGCCAGCGCGAGAAAAAATTGCAGCGTATATCGGCGGCAGCTTAACATGCTAAATTCACATCTATCTCTGAGTTACCTGTGCCTTGACTTTGATCAACTCCAGGTTCAGCGTATCGATAAATTTGAAATATTCATGACATAAATGTCAAAAAAAACTAATTCATCCAAAATCTGTAAATCGCCAAGCAAAGTATTCGTTATTCACTAGACGTTATTAGAGACTTTAAGATTTGCAAAATCTGCGATAGCGACGTTTATAACCGGAAGTGTAAATAACTTCACTCTTTGGGGTTTCGCGCCTTCAAAGTCGACTGTATTCCCTGTTGATGAGATGACTTCACTGACAATGTATTGAATAAAATGATCTCCAATGAACAGAACCCCAAAGAGAAAATTATTTACACGTCCGGTTGACATGGCCGTCAATCTTAAATTCCCTAATATTTTTACTTCTTGTGCGGTCGATGATGTTTCAATGAAAATCCTTCAACCACCCCTACACCCCTCCTTCCCCAGGACAGAAATAATGGCCCGTACTAGACCTAAGAAGGATATTATCATTATTTTTTTCTGCCCTTTTCAGACACGCTTCTCTACGTTCAAGAATGCAGAAAGACGCTTAGATAAAATAAATGCCATTATGATTACGAAGTAGAAAGTCCATAAAATCTATTATAATGTCTGTCAATGTCAGTAGTATTTATGCCTTAGTTATTTACCTTTGAAAATCATTATTCTTACATGAACCGCTTTCCGTTATCAATATATATGCTAGCATCATTATCAAGATCTTGATCATCTGTTCATCAATCTTCATTATTAATACTCCATCTTGATCCTCATCATCATCACCATTATCACCACCATCATATCATCACCATCATCATCGTCGTCGTCGTCGTTATCATCATCATCATCATCACCACCGTCATTACCACTATCTTCATCATAACCATCATCATCTTCGTCGTTGTCGTCGTCGTCGTCTTTATCATCATCATCATCAACAACACCGTCTTCACCACCATCTTCATCATAACCATCATCATCTTCGTCGTTGTCGTCGTCGTCGTCTTTATCATCATCATCAACAACACCGTCTTCACCACCATCTTCATCATAACCATCATCATCGTCGTCGTCTTCGTTATCATCATCATCATTATCATCATCATCATCATCAAAACTGTCACCATCGTAGATATCTACTCTGTCAGTTTGGCCGGTTTTGACCAACATTTACTGTTCACTAACCCATGCAACCTTATGCTTATTTGGCGCATTAATTTGGTCGTGTCACCAACTGATAATCATACCACTGAACAGCAGCATTGTTATCACGTAGATATAGACCAGTTCATCAGCACTTTCTTAGCTTTAGCCAGACAATCCTGGGGAAAAGACCTAACAAACGCTGCTCACGTACATTTATGTGACGCCAAGTATGGGAATCGAAGCTGAGACAAGTGCACTTACCGCTACTGCGGCACCCCTGATTCCCGAAAACACCTTAACTCAATGACACGACATCACGATTTCTTCCTTAGTGGCATCCCACAATACACCCCAATACAAATGAGTGTTCCACCGTAGTGTCAATCAGAGCTGATTTGGTTTGCTCGATTGCTTGTCCTGCGCATGCGCGCGCTGCATGAGGCGTTATCCGAACAAGCTTATGCTATGTGTCACTGAAGAAATGAAGAGAGTGTTGGGGAACTGTTAATTTGCCGTTACAATTATAATAACAGTCTAGAACTATGAATCAGTGTTTGCGCATTACTAATGACGCCTTGTGATGGAAACCTTGTTCAATGCCGAATGCATAAGCCTTAGCATGGCACAAAACCGTGCATTGCTCCATATATCAATCACTATATGACACTATAAACACATTCAGTGAAAACGCCTTATCATAAATGTAGTTCATGAGTCAATTACGTTATTAAAATAGCACATCACCATATCAGTGTTTTGGTCTGTTTTAGAGTTTTGAGAGCCTGGCCTTGCCTTATTTGTTCAGCCAGCCCGTAAATCAGAAGAAACAAGTCCAACATGGTTATGGGAAGGGGGGAGGSGAGGGAGGGGACGGGGGACGGACAAGACGGACAAATCATGATTTTCTTTGCTGCTGTTTAGTTCGTACGTCCTGAAACAATGAATAATAAGGCGGACTACTTTCTTTTAATTTAATTCACGTCACGCGATCGGTTCATGTGAAGTTGCGAAGAAGAGGTTATTGTTGTCAAGCAAGGAAATCCGTTCTCTTGAAAACTACTTGTAATCTTAAAAACGTTAAAAAATCAAACACATTTTCTCTGGTTCATCTCCCTTCCACATCATCGGAAACCCAAAGGTAAAGTCCTGTCGCTCGTTTTTTACTCACAGATTTTTTTGGGAGCGATAAACCATGAAGCGACAGAACTTTACCCTTTTACCGTCGCGGATTTATCGATTGCTTGGGCTTGCTGTGGTTAGCAGCTTAGTGACCTCGTCGTCATCGTCACAACATGGCGGCAAAAGAAACCAAGTGACATTTGAAGCGTTTTGAGGAACATTCCACAACCACCTTGTGCTACACTCTCCCGTCATATACCAAAATTTTTATCAGCTCATAATATCCTTCTCTTTTCACTAATTATTCGTGCAATGAGCGACTGGGACGAAGAGTGTGACGACAACGAAGCGCCCGCGCCGAGTTCATGGACGCATGACAACAGCCAAACAACTAAACGTGCGCCAGGCTTTGGACGTGGACAACCCAACCGATACAGACACGAACCATCACAATCCTTTAACTCTGGGGGTTTTGGAAGACAAAGCAATGACGGACCTAGAGATACGAGAGGAAGGAGTGCCTTTCGCCAGTCTGAAGGAAGAAGCGAGATGAATGGTAACTGGAGAAGTGCCGAGTCGTCTTCAGATCGCGAGCCACGTGGGTTTGGCAGAAGGGGAAGAGATGGTAGAGACGGAGGCTCGCAGGGTTTTAGATCCAGTCAAGACCATGGTTTTGGTAGAAAAAACGGCAACCAAAGTATGGAAATCGTGAATGTAAATTGTGGTATCGTTGGTCGCATTATTGGTAGGTCATCTCATTTGTATTTTTGGTAAGATACCTTTTCCAGGTATTTCACTATTTTAACTTTAACCAAAAAACATAGTCAAGAGACGTGATAGGCAAACTTACCCTCTTAATTATTTGACATAATGGTTTTCAGTTTCAGGGACAAAATTCTGTCCATTTACATAGTGTTTTTTTAACACTAAAGAAATTTCAGAGTGGTTAAGGGGAGAGGGCAAAGGTCACGTTTGACAAAAGAAAACAGTCAAGTTACCTTTGCATTAATGAATAAAACTGGCCATTTCATGGAAAATAATAATGCTCAAATCACGTTTCACGGAATAATGAGAGTATGCCATAAATTTTCACAAAAAATAAAATCAACAAACAACGTTGTGTGTCACAGGAACAAATGTGTGGGTGGTAAAGGGTAATAGTTACTCTTTACTATCCAGGGCCTGGTTGTGCAATAGCGCTATCGAACAGATAAATCTTATCCAGTGGATAAATTTATTGGATTAAGCATTGATTTATCCACTAGATAAGGATATATCTGTCAGATAGCGCTATCCAGGCTTTGTACAACCACAAGAACACATTCACTAAAAGGAAAGTCTGCCTCATGTCAATCCATGTATGCAAACATAAATACTAGGTTACCTGCCTCGCCTTGCCTCGCCTGTCACCTTTGGGGTCTAAGACTCTAAGACTACGCATCACATATTGTATGGAGTTTGCTAGGTCTTTTCCTTGATTCAAGGGTTTTATACAGGTTTTCTGGCTTTCCTCACTCTGCAAAACCATAGTTAATAGATGGGACTATTAACTATGGTAAAACCTGACACACTAAATATCCAAATTGATCTGTGAGTTAGCTGCCTTGACTTCAATCACCCCAGAATCATTTCAGGGTATCAATAGCATTTGACGGCTAATGATATATCATGAACCCTAGCCCAGTTGATACTATAAACCTTAAAAAATAAGCCCATATATAAGTCACTGATTCTATTGTTCTAAGGTCAAAAAGACCAGGGCTTGTTTTCGGAGGTTTACAGTACCCAGGGATGTTAGATGGTCATTTCTTAATTTATTAGAAACATAACTTTTCCAGTTTATTCAACATTTTCTTGTTGTGAGTGTATTAATATAGGGTTTTTAATTTTAAATATTTTCCTTTCCAAAGGAAAAGGTGGTTCCACAATAAGGGACATACAAGAAAAAAGTGGAGCATTTGTTAAAGTATGTACATGTATTGTCTGATGCACTGTCATACCCTTAGATACTGTACTGTATACAAGGAGGCATTTGAATTCCCAAGGGTTGGGAAGGGTTCTTTCTAATGGGTACAAGGTGTAATAGAAATCCATTTCCATGAACAAACAGTTCAGTGTATGATCAAGAAGACGAAGTTAACAAACTAAAACAATGCATAGGCTAACTTCAGTAGGCAAAGCCATGCGCACAACACTGAGTAAGCAACCAAATTCTGTTTAGTCACATGTGAACATTTGTATAATTTCAAATCCTTGCAGATAAGAAAAGAAGATGCCACATACTTTGATCAGCCGATAGAAATAAGTGGTGTTAAAGAAGCTATCGAGAAGGCTAAAGAAATGATTGATGAAATAGCAAACCCATTGGATCACATTAAAGCACCAGGTTAGTGGTGCACTTATCTCAAGGGCGCCAGGACAGACGGATTGGGTTTAAATATGTGCGATTGTTTCAGTTATTCGTAGATTTCTAATTGAATTGATATATGTTTGTTTCTAAATGGATACTAAATGGTGTTCACTTATCTTTCCATCCAACGGTCTTTCTGGTTTGAATCAGCCGTACAATATGAATATATTTACCACGTCCACCAACAGTCTTTCTGGTTTGAATCGGCTGTACGTACGCTCTGAGTATTTACCTCTGCACTATCCGTGCCAAGCAGCGCCGGCACCGCTTCGTTAGTGATTATTCACCTTTAATAAGTTAATCAAATTTACCTTCGGTACAGTAAAATAGACCGGGGTAGGAAAGCAAGAGCGGTTCTTTTGTGCTCTCGTCTGCTCGGATAATCCAATTATTTTGGCAGTACATAGGGCACTTTGTTTACACAGCGATGACAGATATGACTTTGGCAAACGCAAAACGAACTGCCCGAACCACATTTCGTTCTTCGTAATACGACACTATCTCGATGACACACCCGTCCTCGTCCCCGTCCCTTTTTGCAATAGCTGGTAAAGTAATCGCAAATAGATCATAGGAACATGCAAATCAAATAGGAAATCGAAAGCAAATCCTGCTAGAGAAAAAGTTTGTACTTAGACAGGAACCCACACAATRATAATCGACATTCCCTTGTGTAGAGAAAGTTATATGACGATGCATACTTAACTATATCATAGATCATATATCACATCTCGATCGGTTGGCTACAAGTGGGCCCAAATGAGATTTTTTTTTTTTTTGAGAATCTAAAAATGTTTCGGGCATTTATTTTGTTATTGATTTTGAAGATATTTCAGGAACCCACTACCTTAACAATGACTATGACCCCACGAACCGCACCATAACAGACTTTGTAAATTGATCACAATGATCGTTGGCTAGCTTGACCTCGAGTTCGTATTACGAAGAACGAACTGTGGTTCGGGCAGTTCGTTTTGCGTTCGCCAAAGTCATATCTGTCATCGCTGTGTAAACAAAGTGCCCTATGTACTGCCAAAATAATTGGATTATCCGAGCAGACGAGAGCACAAAAGAACCGCTCTTGCTTTCCTACCCCGGTCTATTTTACTGTACTGAAGGTAAATTTGATTAACTTATTAAAGGTGAGTAATCGCTAACGAAGCAGTGCCGGTGCTGCTTGGCACGGATAGTGCAGCAGTAAATACTCAGAGCGTACGTACAGCCGATTCAAACCAGAAAGACTGTTGGTGGACGTGGTAAATATATTCATATTGTACGGCTGATTCAAACCAGAAAGACCGTTGGATGGAAAGATAAGTGAACACCATTTAGTATCCATTTAGAAACAAACATATATCAATTCAATTAGAAATCTACGAATAACTGAAACAATCGCACATATTTAAACCCAATCCGTCTGTCCTGGCGCCCTTACTTATCTCTTATTTATGATGACAATTTTCATTTTGGACAATTTTGTTGGATTTCAAAATAAAAGTGACTAGGGATATACAGTTTCATGAACTCAATAACGTCATGGCTATTTCCCAACTATATGTATTTATGCTTGAGATGCTTTTTTGCAATTGCAATTTTATTGATTGACAAAAATTTATGTCCATCCCAAAATGCTACACCATAAATTACAATAGTTTAAAAGCAAATATGTCATAACATTTGGTTATTCTACTGTTTCAGCTGCAGCGCCTGCCCAAGTTAAGTAAGTATAGTCTTATCTTTATTTTATCTATAACATATTTTTGCCATAATAATAAACTTCAAACCCATAAATAAAGGACTGTAAAATGAAAGAGAATGTCATAATTACTGTCTTGTGATTTTTGAAACTTATATTCTGAGAATGAGTTATTTCACAGAATTTTTTATATTCTGAGAATGAGTTATTGCACGGAATTTTTTTAAATTTATCTCATAGCATTATAGTTCAGAAGAATATGGTCATTTAACTTTGTTTTTGAATTGCATACTGTCAACTAGTAAACCCAAGGTTACTTTTGCTGAAATCCATGCCGCCAGAGAAGAACATGAGAAAACCAGATGGATAGGTAGAGTAAACAATACTAGAAAAAATCATATACATAAGGTGTTGAGTACACTTTCAAAATAAATTAATTTGGAGAAAAGAAGGTATTCCTCACATGGAACTGAGCCAGCATGGGGAGTGGTAGTTGTAAAACATGGGTGGCTTGATAGTTCGAACGAATCCCCCTTCCCTCTTCCCCCTCCACCTTTGTAGGAGTACAAAATAATGTTTAGTGTACATGTATGCAAAATCTTAATTTAATTATCATAATTAAAAATGCACAACAAGACAAATTCCTACTGAGCAACCCAAATTACTTATTGTTAACTGATTTGTTAACATGTCAAAATAATAATCCTTAATAAGTTATGTTTTTATTGTGATAAATAGGGTTACCTTCCATTCAGAAGTACTTCTATATTGAGGCAAACTCTGTAAAGAACAAAGATCCTCAAGATGTAGAGGATTTCCGGTATGTAACCTAAGTTATTAGTATTTTGATCATTACTTACTAATAGACTAAATAGCCCCAATAGACTAAAGTGAAGGCCCTTTAACTTGTGAAATGAAAAATACTGATCAATGTGTAATAGTCAAATTCACGCAAACGAAAACAATGGAATTAGGGTCTATTAAATGTATTAGTCTAATATCTATTGCACTGGTTTAGTGACTTCACTCTGCTGTCAGTGAAATAAATGGCTTTGTATGCTGTGCCAATAGTTCTTCCTGATTGGATGAAACCCTGAAGCCCAAACATGAAAGCAAACTGAATACTTTAATATTTTGATTGTATATTTACCTTTAAAATCAAAATACCTTGTGCATTTAAAGCAGGGCTGTCAATAGAAGCCGGCAACCGGCAGATTCCGCCGTCTACTCTCACTAACTCAGCCGCCTACTCAGCCACTTCCCAATGTAATTGTAAATCTTGAAGTTCTTTAAACTAGCAAAATGTGTGAATAAAATTAAAATTTAACCCAATCTTTGTTGCTGTACTAAGAAAACTGCCAAGCAATCAAAACTATGTACGATGATCATTGTCGGCCATCATGAATTTTTGTGAGAAGAGTAAGACTATATAGAGAAAACAGTGCTATTCCCAGCTCCTTGACCCAGAAAGACTTCAAAATCATACCAAGTACTGTACTGTATTTTTGGTCAACAATTATATATTTAATTATACAGCTTCTCATTAATCCCATATAGGTAACTGTCCAATTATTTTCTTAATTGGACAGGTCTTGTTGATATGGGATTAATTTAAGGCAGCTATATAATTAATAGGTAATGGGATTTCATGCTCCCCAATCAAGAAATAATTAGACTCAAAAAATTTATCTGACTGCCAAAATGGACTCAGCCTATGGCCTCATCCAATTTTGTCAGTCCTCAGAATTTTCCTCGTCCAATTATTTCTTATTTAATTGGACAGCATGGAGTCCTATTACATATACTAATGAAATTCCCTTGTAGCCTTACGAACAACAACATAATTGTGGAAAACTATGGGGAAACAGTGGTTAACAGAGAAATACCAAACCCTGTCACAACATTTGAAGAAGCATTTGAACATTACCGTAAGTACATGATTGTTTAAAAATATGCATGTTGAAAATCGCATATTCCAGAATGAGAGCCAAATGTCTTAGATGTTTAGGTTTTAATCAAAGGCTTTGCACTCACCTCTTACCAAGGCGACCCCAGTTCGATTCCTACCTGTAGACCTGGTGTCAGTGTCAGTTTTACAAAATAAGGGGTTCAAAAGTTTGTTTGGCAGTAAAAAGCCTTTGTGTAGAAGTATGCGAATAATAATTATACATTACTTGTAAAAGTGATCTACTGTTGTATGTTGCACTGTAACATTATTACAAAATTCTTGAAAATTAATTGTATCTTTGATTCTATAAAAGTGAACTACATAGAGACTAATATTATCTCAAAGTTATCACAAATGCCAAATGTTAATAAAAGGATTGATACATGATTATTGTATATTTGACAGGCTAACTCTGCAAAATATATTTATGACTTGATTGTCCTTGCTTCTATCAACAGCTGAGATCCTAAGGGAAATAAAAAAAAATGGATTCACAACACCTTCCCCTATACAGGTATGTTTTGCAAGTACAGTATCCCACCATCCATCCATCCATCCATCCATCCATCCATCCATCCATCCATCCATCCATCCATCCATCCATCCATCCATCCATTTCTAATTTATTTCTTTTATCTTCATTAGTGTCAAGCATGGCCTGTCATCATGTCTGGCATGGACTTGATTGGAATTGCTCAGGTAAACAAGACTTGATGTATAATATACTGTATAGAAATTAATTGCCAACAGTCAATTAGTAGTCATAGTGACTCAGTGGACTACTTTGCGGATACAGTAGCCATCTTACCAGGGGGCAATACGAAACAAAATTAATAGAAAATATATAATCCCTTGCAATCCAAGGTAGCTGCCATCATCGAAGTAATTCATTGATGTATATCTCATTATTTTTCAACAGACAGGGACAGGGAAAACCCTGGCTTTCCTGCTTCCAGCATTTCTACACATTGACGGGCAAGAACTGTAAGATACATTTCAACTTTGCTTTGCACTTTTGTTTTAGAATGAGATTGATAAATTGTTCATTTTCGAATCTGTACCATGCTGCTGTGTTCCTCGATTACAGACTAATATACACAAATACCAATGGTTAAGTAAAGAATGCACAACTTCAACAATACCGTATAAGCACTTTAACATTCCACAGACCTTCTCTGGAACACGTGAATATTCTACACAAAATCGTGGCAGACACTGAGCAACAGAGAACTAGAAACTGGAATATTGTGTGTTTACACTATTTTATATTTGATTTTTCTACAGGCCTCGTGATCAAAGAGGAGGCCCCTCAGTACTTGTTCTTTCCCCAACACGTGAACTTGCTCTACAGATTGAAGAAGAAGTTAAGAAGTATCATTACAGAGGAATTAAAAGGTGCATTTAAGAATCTTCTTCAAACATTGTTAAGACTGACATTATGAAATTTAAGTTCTGACACTGTGATTTGGTTCTTCGTTATTAGTGTATGCGTTTATGGTGGCGGTAGTAGAAGAAACCAAATAAATGTTGTTACCAAAGGAGTGGAAATTGTCATTGGTAAGAAAAATATCCATAGACGTGCGTGTAGTAAAGTTAAGCCTGGACACACTGTGAAACTGTCATATAAAATATACAATATTGCATATACTGTAACCCAAGAGTAAATCAGGTGTCAAGCCAGCTCTGCATCAGTTACACTGTACTTTATTGTGTAGGTCAAGGGGGAATCTAGGGAAGGGGTACAGGGGTGGGCACCTTCCAACAATCTCCCCCCGCACCAATAGAAGATCAAAAACAAATATTAGTTATTTGGAATATAAATATTGGAATAGAAAGTGTAGATGTATACATCTATATAATCAGAAAGCATTTTTTAAAACCAGTTATTTTATGACCACCAAGGGTCACTAGTAAATTTTTTTTTTTTTTCCACTAATCATCTTTGTTTCTTTTCTACATGTTTTTTTTCCCCCAGCTACCCCTGGAAGATTAAATGATCTTTTGATGAATAATATAATGTCTGTGAGAAGTGTGACATGTTTGGTAAGTTGTTGAACAGTCTCCAACCTGATAGTTCTTAAGTCTTAAAAACCTCATTAATAATTCATGAAGGAAACACAATAGAAATCATGACCATGAAGGAGGTTTTATATCTGATATAGATTCGTCTTCATTTGCATAAACTTTAACTTGGATTTTCTCTATCAAACTTGGTTCATTTTGTAAAGAATACAGTACATTATGAGAACATACATCAGTTTTTTAAGCCGTTCAATAAACTCACAGAACGGCTATGCCTCATGTATTTAAATCCTGATAAAACACTCCTGCGAGTTTATTAAACAGTACATACAATGTATTTTATAGGCCCCTTTATTACACTCTTCTTTTTCTCGTTTATTAATTCCCACATGTTCATTTCCTCCCATTTTTTCATGTACTTCTTCTTTCTATCTTTCCTTCCTCTTTTTCTTCATTTATCTATTCAATTGTTCATTAACTTCCACTTTCTTTGTTAATTTATTCATTTATCCTTTTATTTATTTCATTCATATATTTGTTCATCTATTCTCTTATTAATTTGAAGGTGCTTGATGAAGCAGACCGCATGTTGGACATGGGCTTTGAACCTGAGATTAAAAAGATCTTGCTGGACATCCGTCCAGACAGACAAACAGTCATGACCAGGTCAGTGAACCTTTACGAAATATTTGTCTGTGATAAAATCTTATCAATCAAAAATTTTTAAAAAATTATCAATCAAAATTTTAACTAAAATTAAAATTATTTTTCAAATAAATCTTTATTTTATAAGCTAGTTGGACTGAGAAAAATAATTATATTAAAGTTGAATCCAAATGAGAATGATTCTGTATCTGATTTACATCCTGGTGACTGATTTCTGTTGTGTTTTTCCCTCATTAATTGTTCATAATTTGATAAGATGATACACAGAATCTTGTATCCTGAAAATGTTCTTCCCTCTCATTAGTGCTACATGGCCTCCTGGTGTACAACGCATGGCTGACCAGTACATGACAGACCCAGTCAGGGTGTTTGTAGGAAGCTTGGACCTGAATGTAAGCATTTTTCATGACCCATGTTAACGATATATGACAGAATTTTCCATCATATGGCTGAAATAGTGTCGGTCATCTGATAATGTGTGACTAAAATTGGAACTTGTCCAGTCAAATCTTTGACTTCCTGCTCATTTTGACTACTAACATTGAGCCAGTGACAAGGTGTGACAAGCTGAAACTTTTTTGGACGGTCATCGTRACCGGCGACTGACTAGCCATTATTTATAGCCCTGCATCAAATGATACGGTAAATGGACTACTTTGACGATATGGCAAGGCATTATAGGGCGTCCAGGGGGCAAATAAAGCTTTGTTACAGTAATGATGTTGATTGATATTAACAGCTCACCATGATAGAATACAACAAAAGATGAATTAAGACAGCACATCTATATCACTTTTACCCATAAAAGAAAGACAGACACACAAAACTTTATATTTTCTGTCATCTTTGTTTTGCCCCCTGGCAAGATGGCTGCCCTATCGTCTAAGTAGTCCATTTATCAAGAACAAGTTATTTGCTAAAGACATAGGCTGAATGTGCATAAGACTTAGATACATTTATGTGATGTGGAGGAAGGTGGTGCTGAAGTTGAGTAAATATTAACAAAACAATCTCCTCAGTCCCCTAAGTGACCACTCATTTGATTGGGCTCCTTCCATTCTACAGGCTTGCAAGAGTGTAACACAACTTGTAGAGATGGTTGATGGAGAAGAAAAGAAGGACAGAGTAAGTAGGCTGTTTTTATTGGCTGATGTTTTCACACGGCAGCCAAGTTCAAGTGCTTCAGGATGGGTTTGCTCAGGCAAAAACAAAGGCTTTAATTTTCCATGGGAATAAACATGGCTGCTGCTTGACAAAGGTCCATGGAGAATGCACTGGTTTTTGTTGAATAAGGAGATTTAGTAGCACACTGTGGGGGGAGGGGTAGAGAGATATTGTCTTATTACAATATATTCACAAGACTACAAAGTTTTACATGCTACGGTTGATGCTTGCAGAGTGGTGCACCTTGAGATGCCAACTAGAGAAAACATGATGGTCTTATTTGAAGTAGTGTAATCACTGTTCTATTTTTTTCTCTTGTTTTCAGAGTATAGAGTTTGTCAATAGTCTGAGCCCAAAAGACAAAGTGCTCATCTTTGTTGGAAAGAAAATTATGTAAGATATTTTTTGATGTGTAAAGATAACATATATCAGCCTGATGATGATGATGATGATGATTACATGCTTAAAATGGTGAGGGGTCTGACTGCCATAGTGGTCACACATCGTTTGAATCCAGAACAATCCTTCAGCAAATTTTTCTTGTCTATTCCCTACGACCCTTTCAATTGCTTGACCATTGATCAGGCTGTCTACTGTACATTCCCCCTGGTCTGCTGTAGTCACCATGAACAGCATTTGTTAATTAACTTTGTTTTTTTATAGAGGATAAGTATTTGAAGGGTTGAATTTTCCATTCTCACACCAAAGGCATAGCCCCACTTCTTTGCTTCCCTCACTGTCCCAGACAGGCCTGCAGGTGTTTTACATCCATAGGACAAGAACAAGACAATGATGTTTTTTTCCAAAATATGTAATTCTCCCCCGTCTTACCCCACAACATGGGTGGAGTGAAACTACTCTATAAAGTATTGGTCAGTTATGACTAAGAATCCTTCTTTAATTCGCCTATAAGCCATTCCAAAGCTGCAAAAAAACTGGGTTGAGTTGGGAATGCAGTGCATTGTGAGACTGTTTTAGGGCATGAAATAGATGCCATCTTGAAAGTTGTCCCAGAATGCACTACATTGCCAACTCGACCCAGTTTTCAACTCAACCTTGGAATGGCTAATTCTTTCTTGTGTGTAGATCCATATTTGAGTGCTTTATTATTTCAATCACAGGGCTGATGACCTTGCAAGTGACTTCATGTTAAGAGGTGTGTCAGGTGTACAGTGTATCCATGGTGACAGGTATGTGCATAAAGGCCCTGCAGGATTAGATAAGACATTTAGAGACCTTTAGCAAGACGTTCTTACTAGCCCCGCAAACCTCAAACTGCAGTTCGACGTCAGGCATTTTCCTTCAAACTTTCAACATTCATTAAGGCATCATAACCAAGTTGTTGCTGGAAGAGTAGCCATATTAAATTTCATTGATGCCGAGTGTTTCTCGGTGTTTGCAGGCGTTTCTTGTGACCTGATTCCTAGCAGCTACCGGTTAGCAGTTAGCGGTGAACATGATGCTAAAGGTCTTCATTTAAGATAGAAAACTTTCACATTTTGAAATCATTTTACTGGGAAAGAGTGGAATAAAATCTTGTAAAGAACTTTGTGTGCTATTATCATAGTCAAAAAAACTAAGATGGGGATCAAAGGCGGTGCGAAAACAAACAAATTAGGAATCGAAAATGGTGTATTAGTGGTACACCACGTGTAGTGTTTCACCTCTGGGTTCTCAGGTTCTATTCCTGGTCTCGGTACCACATGTGAGAAGAGTTTGTTAGGTCTCTCCCTTGATTCGAGAGTTTTTTCCAGGCTCTCCAGTTTCCTTCCTCCACAGTACCTAACGCTAAATTACAATTTGATCCGTGAGTTATTAGTAGCCACAAGGGTGGATCCAGCCAAAATTTTAGGGGGGGGGGGCTAATTGAGTTTAGGGGGCTAATTAAGTTTCTTCCGTCAACAAAACGGAAAACAATAAAAAAAGTATCTAATTCTTCAGTTTTGTTTTGTTT